TTTAGAGACAGAGTCTCACTTTGTTGCTGTTGGTAGAGTGCTGTGGTGTCAGAGCTCACAGCAACCTCCAGATCTTAGGCTTAGGCGATTCTCTTGCCTCAGCCTCCCAAGTAGCTGGGATTATAGGCGCCCACCACAATGCCCAGCTATTTTTTGTTGCAGTTTGGCTGGGGCCAGGTTCAAACCCACCACCCCAGATATATAGGGCTGGTGTCCTACTCACTGAGCCACAGGCACTGCCCCAAACCTGTGAGTTTGTTAGTTAAAACCTTTTAATAAGGCTATAGGTTTCCTTTTGTTTTTTGTTTTTGTTTTTTGAGATAGAGTCTCAAGCTATAATCCCGGGTAGAGTCTGTGGTATCACAGCTCACAGCAACCTCAAACTCTTGGGCTTAAGTGATTCTCTTGCCTTAGCTTCCCAAGTAGCTGGGATTACAGGCGCCCACTTCAAAGCCCAGCTATTTGTTGTTGTTGTTATTGTTATTGTTATTGTTTAGCTGGCCCAGGCCAGGTTCAAACCTGCCAGCCTCAGTGTATGTGGCCGGTGCCCTGCCTCCTGGGCTATGGGCACCACCCTAATAAGGCTATAGTTTTCATGGGAGAGACTGTACTCCTAAAATTTTTATTTTTTATTTTTTTATTTTTTTATTTTTTGAAACAGAGCCTCAAGCTATCCCCCTGGGTAGAGTGCTGTGTCTTCACAGCTCACAGCAACCTCCAACTCCTGGGCTTAAGCGAGTCTCCTGCCTCCGCCTCCCAAGTAGCTGGGACCACAGGTGCCTGCCACAATGCCCGGCAATTTTTTGGTTGCAGCCATCATTATTGTTTGGCTGGTCCGGGCTGGATTCGAACCTGCCACCTTAGGTGTATGTGGCTGGCTCCTTAGCTACTTGAGCCACAGACGCCGAGCCCTTTTAAAATTTTTAAATTGGCACTGGGTGAAGTAGCTTACAGTGTAATCCCTGTAATCCTAGCACTCTGGGATACTGAGGTTGGTAGATTACCTGAGCTCAGAAGTTTAAGACCAGCCTGAGCAAGAGCAAGACCATGTCTCTATTAAAAACAGAAAAATTGGCTCGGCGCCTATAGCTCAACCGGCTAAGGCACCAGCCACGTACACCTAAGGTGGCGGGTTCGAATCCCCAGCCCGGACCCACCAAAACAACAATGACGGCTGCAACCAAAAAATAGCCGGGCATTGTGGTGGGCGCCTGGGGTCCCAGCTACTTGGGAGGCGGAGGCAGGAGACTCACTTTAGCCCAGGAGTTGGAGGTTGCTGTGAGCTGTAATGCCACGGCACTCTACCCAGGGGGACAGTTTGAGGCTCTGTCTAAAAAAAAAAAACAACAAAAATTACCAGCCTCTCAGCTACTTGGAGGATGAGTGAACCAGGAGGATCCCTTGAGCCCAAGAGTTTGACATTGCTGTGAACTATGAAGCCACAGCACTCTATCCAGGGCAACAGAATGAGACTCTGTCTCAAAAAAAACAAAATTTTAAAATCCAAGAGAAATAGGTAACTGTGCAAGCTCATGTTTGTAAATGATACGTTTATGGATTATTTTTAGCTTTTTGGGTTAATGTAGAAGAACCAGAGACAGATAAAAATGATCTATAAAATGAAATGTGTAACTTTTCTGTTTCCTTTATTGTACATTGTTCTTATTGTTCTTTAGTTAGCCTTTTTTTTTTTTTTTTTTTTTGAGACAGAATCTCAAGCTGATGCCCTGGGTAGAGTGCCATAACTCCATAGGTCACAGCAACCTCAAACTCTTGGGCTCAAGTGATACTTATTCCTAAGTTTGTCTATTTTCAGTAGAGATGGGGGTCTCTCTCTCTTTTTTTTTGAAACAGAGTTTCACTTTGTCACCCTCAGTAGACTCCTGTGGCATTGTAGCTCATAGCAACCTCAAACTCTTGGGCTCTACTCATTGTCTTGCTTCAGCCTCCCAAGTAGCTGGGACTATAAGCACTCACCACAATGCGTGGCTATTTTTTTTAGAGATGGGGTCTTGCCCTTGCTCAGATTGGTCTGCAACTCCTGACCTTGATATCCTCTTGCCTTGGCCTCCCAGAGTGCTACAGTTATAGGGATGAACCACTCCACCAGGCCTTCAGCATGTTTTTCTTAATTAGATTCTCCATATTTTAGGTCTTTACGTTTCTTTCTGTTTTTGTTTTTTTTTTTTTTTTTTTTTTTTTTTTTTTTTTTTTTTTTTTTTTTGTAGAAACAGAGTCTCACTTTATTGCCCTTGGTAGAGTGCCCTGGCATCACAGCTCACAGCAACCTCCAGCTCTTGGGCTTAGGCAATTCTCTTGCCTCAGCCTCCCAAGTAGCTGGGACTACAGGTGCCCACCACAATGCCTAGCTATTTTTTTGGTTGCAATTCAGCCAGGCTGGGTTTGAACCTGCCACCCTTGTTATATGGGGCCAGCGCCCTACCCACTGAGCCACAGGCGCCACCCTACATTTCTTAATTATATGCAATTGTAATAGAGCATATAAGATCTGTTTTTCCTTTTCTTTTGTGGGGAGCATAGTCTCACTCTGTCTTCACTGTAGAGTCCAGTGGTGTCCTTGCAGCTTACTCTAACCTCGAACTTCTGGACTCCAGTGATTCTTCTGCCTCAGCCTCCCAAGTTGCTGGAATGACAGGCACACACCACCATGCTTAGCTAATTTTTCTGTTTTTAGTAGAGATGGGGTCTTGGCTCTTGCTCAGGCTGGTCTCAAACTCTTGAGCTTAAATAGTCCTTGGCCTCCTAGAATATGAGGATTATAGGCTTCAGCCACTTGCCCTACACATCATTCTGATACATGGCTTTGGAAGACTGTGTCTTGGGTGGCACCTGTGGCTCAGTAAGTAAGGCACCAGCCCCGGCCAAACTGCAACAAAAAATATAGCCAAGCCTTGTGGCGGGCACCTGTAGTCCCAGCTACTTGGGAGGCTGAGGCAAGAGAATCACCTAAGCCCAAGAACTGGAGATTGCTCTGAGCTGTGACGCCATGGCACTTTACTGAGGGTAACAATGATACTCTGTCTCTTTTTTTTTTTTTTTTGAGACAGAGCCTCAAGCTGTCCCCCTGGGCAGAGTGCCATGGCATTACAGCTCACAGCAACCCCCAACTCCTGGGCTCAAGCGAGTCTCTTGCCTCCACCTCCCAAGTAGCTGGGACCACAGGCGCCCGCCACAACGCCCGGCTATTTTTTGGTTGCAGCCGTCATTGTTGTTTGGCGGGTCCGGGCTGGGGATTCGAACCCGCCACCTTAGGTGTACGTGGCTGGCGCCTTAGCCGGTTGAGCTATAGGCGCCGAGCCTACTCTGTCTCTTAAAAAAAAAAAGAAGACTGTGTCTCGACCTTTCCTTATCCTTTTTTTGTTGGCCATTCACCCAGGAACATATTGGTACTTGATACCTATCAAGTTTGTTAGTATAGAAATAATTGAAAATGACTGGTGTGGCTGGGCGTGGTGGCACACGCCTGTAATCCTGCCACTCTGGGAGTCTGAGGCAGGTGGATAGCTTGAGCTCACGAGTTCAACACCAGCCTAAGCAAAAGTGAGACCCTGTCTCTACTAAAAATAGAAAAACTGAGGGAAGAGGATCACTTGAGCCTGAGTTGGAAGTGGCTGTGAGCTATGTGACAGCACTCTACCCAGGGCGACAACTGGTAGTTTTTTGAGACTATCTCAGAAAAAATAAAAAATGAGAGAATGACTGGTGTGCAGAGTGTATTCAACCTTAATGGCACTTAATTAATACTTAATTGGAAATTAATGTATATGGGCAGCACCTGTTGCTCGGTGGGTAGGGTGCTGGCCCCACATACTGAGGGTGCAGGTTCAAACCTGGCCCTGGCCAAATGGCAACAAAAAAATAGCCAGGCATTCTGGTGGGCACTTATAGTCCTAGCTACTCGGAAGGCTGAGGCAAGAGAATCACTAAGACTGGGAGTTGGTGGTTGCTGTGAACTGTGAGACCACAGCACTCTACTGAGGGCAATAAAGTGAGACTCTGTCTCTAAAAAAGAAAAAGAAAGAAAATTATGTGTAATTTGGCTGGGCACCCAATTGCTCAGTGGTTAGCGTACCAGCCACATACTCCATGGCTGGTGGGTTCAAACTTGGCTTGGGTCTGCTAAACAAAAAAAATTAGCCAGCCGTTATGCCAGGCACCTGTAGTCCCAGCTACTGGGTGGCTGAGGCTAGAGAATTGCTTGAGCCTAAGAGTTTGAGGTTACTGTGAGCTATGATGCCTTGATACCTTAAAGGCAGCAAAGTAAGACTGTCTCAATTAAAAAAAAAAAAAGAGCTACTCCATAACTTACTGGGTAGGGTGCTGGCCATATACATTGAGGCTTGCAGTTCAAACCTGGCCCAGGCCAGCTAAAACAACAGTGAGAACTGCAATCAAAAAAATAGCTGAGCATTGTGGTGGGCACCTATAGTTCCAGCTACTTAGGAAGCTGAGGCAAGAGAATTACTTAAGCCCAAGAGTTTGAGGTTGTTGTAAGCTGTGACATCATGGCGTTCTACCCAAGGCAACAGCTTGAGACTCTGCCTAAAAAAAAGGATTATGTATAATTTACGTATTTTAGATATGTAAAAGTTGAAAAAGGCAAGAACCCATTATGGGGAATGGACTTTTTTTATTATGTTTCTGATACTTCTGTCTCGGAATCATCTCTACCTATATATCCTGTTTTCTTTTTTTCCTGCAATTTTAGTACAGAGGAAAATCCCAAGAGAGAAGATTATTTTGGAATCACGAATCTTGTTGAACATCCAGCCCAGCTTAATCCTCCAGGTAATGTGTCGATTACTCAATCAAGACTCTAGAACAGCATTATTCAATAATTTTATGCAACACTGGATATGCTGGATATGCTTTTTTATCTGTGCTAATATCATAGCCACTAACCATGTGTTTTTATTTTTTTATTTTTTTATTTTTGGAGTCTCAATTTGTTGCCAGGCTAGAGTGTTACAGCATCATAGTTCTTCAAACTCTTGGGATCAAGTGATCCTCCTGCCTCTGCCTCAATGGTTCAGCTGAGACTACAGCTGCTCACCATAACACCTGGTCAATTTTTCTTTTTTGTTTGTTTGTTTTGAGATAGTGTCACTCTGTGGTCCTGGGTTTGAGTGCCATGCTCACAGCATCCTCAGACTCTTGGGCTCAAGCAATCCTCATGCCTCAACTTCTTGAGTAGCTGAGATTACAGACGTGTACCACCAGGCCCAGCTAATTTTTTTTTTCTATTTTTAGTAGAGATGGGGTCTCACTCTTGCTCAGGCTGGTCTAAAACTCCTAAGCTCACAAAATCCACCTGCCTCTGCCTTCCAGAGGGGTAAGATTATAGAAGTGAGTCACCACACCTGGCCTAAAGCATGAGTCTAAAGCATTTGAGTACTGACTTCCACTAGTACAACCAAAGAACTGAATTTTTAATTTTATTGAATTTTAACTAGTTTTGATTTTAATTTAAGTTGGACATGTAGCCTAATGGCTGCCATATTGAATAGTGCAACTCTCGAACATTGAGGCCTAATCTGTCTGTGGCCTCTGTATATATTACAATTTGAGTTTTGCCATCGTGCTTATTTTAAGTCTCATATACCACAAATATGTTCCTCCCCATTTTTGCTCTTCTTTGTCTTTATTCTTTTTGTGGCAAAAGTCTGTTGGCTTAATTAGGAGAGATAGGTTTTAGTGGTGGCTGTGTTTTTAACTAGCTAAATGCCTTTGGTGAAGTCATTTTGAATACTGGGATTTTCTTCATTTATAGTGATAATGACTGATATGCCTTCTTTAAGAGTTATGCAGATTATAAAAGATATTAACACTTTCCCCAGTTTTAGGATGAGCAGAAATAATAATACTCTAGTTGCTAACTGCACTTGATAGTATCTCTAATAAGTTTAGAACAGTGGATTGAGATCTTGAGATAATATAGGTTAGAATAATCACTGCACTTTACTTAGCCAGATTCTACTTAGCTATCATCAGTGTGAATCAGCAGGAGAATGTGAGGATTTTATTTTTGCTTGAAAACCTTAAGTGAATATTTGCCATTCTCTGTGACACTGAAATTATAAATTTTATCATCTAGGCCAATAGTTTTCACATTGTATTCTATGGGAACATTGAGGTTTAGGAGAGAGGAGCTAAGTGGGATTGTAGATAATTCCTACCTACTCCAAATCCTTGCCCAAAGCACCTAGAGCAGTTCTAATTTTGTTTTCTAAATTTGCCACATTTCATTTGATGAAGAGGTTTAACAATTTAAAGAAAAACAATTCAGAATGCTACTTATGGAAAATAAGAATGCTCTTTTAAACCATAACCATGGTACCCTTATCACAATTTAAAGACATCTAATGATAATCAAGCAAAAGGTTCTTTTAATGGTACTGATATTCCCTTGAATCTATTTAATATTCTTTTTTTTTTGAGACGGAGTCTCACTTTGTTGCCCTGGGTAGAGTGCCATGGCATCATAGCTCACAACAACCTCAAACTCTTGGGCTTAAGTGATTCTCTTGCCTCCGTCTCCTGAGTACCTGAGACTATAGGCACCTGCCACAGTGCCCAGCTATTTTTTAAAGACAGGGTCTCTGTACTTTCTCAGGCTGGTCTCTTTTTTTTTTT